CAATGATTGTATCTTCTGTAGTTCGACTCATTGAAGCTCGGATTGATTTGCTCATTTAATAAATCTAAAATCCTAAATAATTTATTCGTGAGTAACTCATTTCGCATAACAATGAGTTGATCATAAATTTTTAGAGGATTAATATAACATTTTTTTCATTAAAGTCTCAATAAGTTTTAAAAAGTCCATTATGAAAGTCTTAAAAAGTCACTAATAAGAATTCTCTGAAAGCCTCAAAAAGTCCACAAAAGTCATTAAAGTTTTACAAAGTTCACAAAAGTCACCAAATTTAAAAATTTTTAAAAAGTTCTTAAGAATCTCAATTGAATACAACCCAAAGTTATGTACTGATAATTTTCTCATACACTTTTAGGCTTAATTGCTTTCTCAATGACCAACCATTTGTAGTCTAGATTAGAGCTTAGCATGAGAATCAAATAATTTCGAACCGTTCCAAAAATTGAAATGAAATCATTACGAATCGAAAAATAATCGTTGATCATTTGACTTTCTCTGAACCGAACCGAACAAAAAAAAATAATTGGTACGGTTCTGGAGATTTCACAAATATCTGTACCGAGAACTGAACCGAACCGTACCGTACCGAATAACCGAATTATAAATATAGAAGTGTGATATTAATATATTTTATGTCAATTTTGATCATGTATAATTTGAAAAATTTAAAACGGGAATAAAATATAGTTGTAATTATTGAGCTTCACTTAAATTTCATGCTTAGTAATACTTGAGATCTACAATTGAATTTTCCTCGTTTAAGAAAGCATAGTTATAATTATTAAGCTTCACTTAAATTTCATGCTTAGTAATACTTGAGGTTTACAATTGAATTTTTCTCGTTTAGGAAAAATATATTTAAAATGGTATGAAAGGTTTTTTTTTTGTTCGAAACGATAGAGATCTTATATAAATGCGCACAAAGGTGCAAAAGCACAGCTACAAGCTGAATACAAACAGCCAACGACTGAATACAAACAACCAACAGCTGAATAAAAATGGGAGGACAGGTCAAGGACCGCCTAAAGACCGACCCCAACAGGGTAATACTCGGCAACACTAAAAACACAAGACTACTAAAGCACAACCCCAACAACACAAAACACTAAAAACGACCCCAACAGGGTAATACCCGAGTGTCGGACCCCAACAGGGTAATTAAGATGACACTCGGGCTCACAGAGGCCAACAACCCAAACCTAAAACACAGAACACACAAAACAAACCCAGAACAAAGCAACAAACAAAACAACGACTACAACCTAAAAACCTAAACACCATAAACAATAAACCGCCCTCAGCAAGAACATCTAAAAAAGACAGCAGACAAAGTCGGCTTCGAGGAGAGCACCGAAGCTTTGGAACCACGCCCGCCACTGCAGAAGGCCTAGCAAGACGAGGACCCTAGCCTCCGAACAAACCAAAAAAACCAACCCTCACATCGACCGCAAAAAGTCACAATTGCCCCCCAACCAGCTAACACCACTAGCCAATCTGAACCCGTCCCAAAGCTGCCTAACACCACTAGCCATCTCCGAGAACAGACGGCCTCCGACCACTCAGAAACCGAGCAGGAGGAGGAAAAGAACAAACGACCTCAGGGCTCAGCCACTCCGACCCTGCCCGAAGAAACGAACTCCGCCCGAAAACAGACACCTATCCACCAGCCCGCAAGAATGAAAGCGGACCTGCTACCCCAGCACAGCCGAGGTCCCAGATACCCGTCTCCAGCCAAAGCCGAAGACCCGCAATCGGAAAACCTGCCAACCCAGAAGAAGGAGACGCTC